TGACCATAGTTCAAGTCCTGGACCCGGTGGCTTAAATTCACGCTGGGCGCGTGTGTGTGAGCGAGTGGAATCCCGAGAGGAGAATGGAAGAGAAAGGATTGCGGCGTGGCCATCCCCCCGGGGGGTGATTTCTCACTTTCTGTCTCTCTGCCTCTCTCTGTCTTTCTGGCGAGCACATGTGCCCTGTAGCAAAAACCTCTACCAAAAACATAAATAAATAAATAAAACAGTAATAATAATAATAATAACACATACATGTGTATGACAGAGAGAGAGAGAGAGAGATTCTTCCCAGAGTTCATCACGCCCCGATGTGGTCCTCCAGTCCTCCAGCCAAACAGGATCCTAAGCACATGTGCACATGTCTGGTGTGTTTTCTGGTCAAATGGGTCGGGGATTCAAACCATGGATGGCATGTGGCTTTCAGCTGCGCAGTGCACATGCACAAGGACGAAGCTGCAGGAATGTGAGGTGCACAAAGTCATCTTACACTATAACAAAATTAACTCAAAATGCACCAGAGACCTGATTTTAAGAGCTAAAACTATAGCACTCTGAGAAGAAGACATACACGGGAACTACAGAAGCATTCAAGGAAAAAACGGAATTCAAGAATAAGTGCCGTAGGCTACCAGCCGTGTTACAGAGGCTGAACCTTTTGATTTTTTTTGGAAAGGAAAATAAGTGTTAGTAAGGATGTGGCAAAATGGGGACCCTTATGCATTGCTGGTAGAAATGATGGCAGGGGACCAGCAGTTAGCATAATGGCTATGTCGCTGGACTCCCATGTAGTCAACCGCGGTTCGCGTCCTGGACCCGGTGGCTTAAACTCACGCCGGGCGCGTGTGCATGCGTGCCCAAGATCTCGAGAGGAGAATGGAGGAGGAGGGATTGCGGCGTGACCATCCCCCCTGGGGGGTGATTTCTCGCTTTCTATTGTCTGGTGAGCGCACGCGCCCTGTAGCAAAAACCTCTCCGAAAAGAAAAGAAAAGAAAAGAAAAGAAAAGAAAAGAAAAGAAAAGAAAAGAAAAGAAAAGAAAAGAAAAGAAAGCAGAAAATGGGCGGGGGGCTCTTCAGAAAGAACAAAGAATTGCCACGGGAATTCCACTCCTAGATGTATATCAGAAAAAATGGAAAACAATGGGGCCAGGTGGTGGTGCAGTGATAATGCAACTGGATCCGTATGGAAAAGGTCCTAGGTTCGTGTCCTGGGACCTCCAAACACAACGGGCTCACATGCATGCCTATCCCCTGGACCCGCTGAAAGAGCTGAAAGACGGAGACACTGTTGGGGGTGCCTGTCTTTGTCTTTCATAAAAATAAACAAAGTATTGAAGGGAACAATTGAAACAAGACATGTAACAAATACTTGCACATCACTGTGTATACAGCAGTCTGACTCACGGGTGTCAAAAGGTGGAAACGAGGGACCAGCAGTTAGCGTAATGGCTATGTCGCTGGACTCCCACGTAGTCGACCGCGGTTCGAGTCCCGGACCAGGTGGCTTAAACTCATGCCGGGTGCGTGTGCGTG